GGAGGATTTATGGTCACAGACCTTATCTGGCTTGGAGAGCTGCCAGGCCGATATCTGCAGAACTTGGCCAGGGGTCTCGGAGTCACAAGCCAATGAAGTGAACTAATTGTCTCCTGCAAACTCCACTCCCCTGTTGCTCCTCTTTTATTCCCTCTGGGAGGGGCCATTCATCATCCACCTGGGCCTTACTCCCAAGGCGACCCCTGTTCTTTAGCTGTTCCCTTCGCCTGGCAACTCTGCGCATGCACACACTGGGAAGAGGCTCCAGCTGTTCTTCCGCCTCACTGATGTTTCACTCTGAAGGCAGCTGATAACTGTCAGGCGGCCCTGGCTCCATCTCCGACACAGAGCCCTCATCAGAGCCTCCCCCAGACTCCAGGACTGGCCCATGTTCCTCCCCAACCTCCTCACTGTCCGAATCTGCTGCCAACTCTGCTGGCAGGCCACAACACTGAAGTTGCAATCTTGCTGAGTCCAAAGGCTGGAAGGAAACTGACACCCTCTAGGCCTCAAGGAAGACACCCACCCTCCCCCAAATGCCTTCCTGGAGTGAGGCTTCAGTCCTGACTCCACAGCCAGTCTCCATCTTGGGTGCAATGCAGAGGCCTCCTGAAGCTGCTCACGCGACTTCCTCCATGGTCCCTCCCCTCCAAAGCGCCCCCTCCCCCGCACCTTGCACTGGGAGCAGGAGTCTCTGCTGCTGGGGAACTCTGGGGCGTTCCGGAAGTAGCGCTGAAGCTTCTCCCAGGCGTCCCTGCAGACCACGCGCCTCTCGTTCTCCAAGATGCAAAGGTTGCCTGCGGACGGAAGCGGAAGAGATGCTGTCTGGATGGCTGAGGGGCAGATCCTGAACCCCCCCCCCCCAGCAACTCCGGTAGCCCTTTGGCTTGCCTGCCAACAGTGCAAGGACCCCAGAGTAGGAGAGCTTCCCTGCCAGGGAAGTGCGCCCATACAGGCCTGTCCCACAATAGCACTTAACTTATATACCGCTTCGCAGTGCTGTCCAGCCCTCTCTAAGGGGTTTACAGAATCAGCCTCATTGCCCCCAACAATTTGGCTCCTCATTTTACCCACCTTGGAAGGAGGGAAGGTTGAGCCAGTCAGAATCAAACTGCTGGCAGTCGGCAAAATTAGCCTGCAATACTGCATGGCAACCACTGTGCCGTCATGGCTCTTGTAGCCATAAACATATATACCGCTTCATGGTGCTTTACAGCCCTATTTAAGCAGTTACTCACCTCGGAAGGATGGAAGGCTGAGTAAACCTTCAGCCTGGTGAGATTTGAACAGTGACGTGCAGTCAGGTGAGGCAAGTGAGGCACAGCCTCAACGCTCTCATCATGAAATGATGATCATGAATGAAATGAAATGATTCAAGGTGCTGGTTATTACCTTTAAAGCCCTACATAGCCTAGGACCCGGATACCTGCGAGACCGTCTTCTGCCGCATACCTCCCTAAGACCAATAAGATCGCACAGGATGGGCCTTCTCCGGGTGCCTTCAACAGGACAATGCCGGCTGGCGACGCCTCGGAGTAGGGCCTTCTCTGTTGCCGCTCCGGCCCTATGGAATGAGCTACCCCCAGAGATCTAGGCCCTACCCACTCTCATGACATTCCGTAAAGCTATTAAAACCTGGCTT